ATTATTAATTACGAGTGTGACTGACCTCAGACCTGGGCTAGAAGGGGGGAGATCCATGAATGTTTACACATAAGAATCTGGGGTCTAATTCCATTGCAATGCTTGACATGAGTAACATGAAATATTACATACTTGAAACTAGCTGACTAAGACTAACCCAGGATTTTTTTAATCAACATACAAGATAATCCGGAGGTCATCTGGGATGACCTCTTGGAGAAGGCTTCTCGGGGAAGGGGGGGTCATGGGAACTTCAATGACTGTTTCAAGCCCAGACATCGACTAAGTAGAGGGCGCTTAGGTGCAGAGGTGCAGGTGTGCAGTCGGCAGGTCACCAATCAGAAGCAGGCAGGTTGGGAATGGTAGTTTGCTGGTTGATGATGGTGGCGAGCCAGCATGGAGGGAGTGTGGAGTTGGGGGGAGTTTAGGGTACGTTTGCCTCCTGGTCAAAATGTTTTGTACTACTGGAAGACGTATCTTGAAGGTAGCATCTTATTGTTGTATATATATAAGTAACTTTATGTAGGGAAAAGCAGGCTCAATCTCTCTTGAAAGAGATTATCGTCACACCTTCTACTTGATGATGTTGTGAAAATGGTTAATCATATCTGTGTACATGTAAAAAAGCAAAGAATGTTTCGTGAGATGTGTAAGGATATGGACGCTAATTTCACCAAACTCCTCCTTCATACTGAAGTACGTTGGCTATCTGGAGTAAGGTTCATAATCTAGTGTTTGCATTGAGATAGCAGCTCTGTGTTTTCTTTACTGAGGAAGCAAACCCCATGGCAATTAAATGTCAGGATGTGCTCTGGCTAGTAAAATTGTCTTACATGGCTTCAATCTTCGATCATCTGAACAAGCTAAACATCAGTCAGCAAGGCAAAGGTGGGGATATTTTTACTAGTATAGCCACATAGACACATCAGGAGAAAAGCAACAGTAAAGGAACAGGTTATGAAATTAAGGACAGGGGCGGAAGGATTCACTACAAACGACAAGCAAGTGTGTGAGGAACTGAGTAAGAAATTCCAGGAGGTCTTCACCTTAGAGCAAGGAGAAATTCCAGAGATATGAGAGGGAATAGTTAACCCAGGAACCACTGGAAGAGTTTGAAATTACCAGCGGGGAAGTAAGGAAGTGTTTACTAGAGGTGGATGTGACAAAGACCCAGATGGAATCTCCCCTTGGATACTAAAGGAAGGAGCAGAAGAACTGTGCCTGCCACTCTCCATAGTGTATAACAAATCACTGGCAACAGGGGAACTGCCAGAAATTTGGAAAACAGCTAACGTAGTCCCGATATACAAGAAAGGGGATTGACATGAGGCACTGAACTTAGGCCACTGTCCCTAACCTGCACACCATGCAAGCTGATGTAGAAGATTGTGCGAAGAAAGCTAGTGGAACATCTGGAGCGAAAGAACTTTGTAACACAGCATCAACATGGGTTGAGGGATGGCAGGTCCTGCCTCACAGGGTTACTTGAAATCTACGACCAGGCAACAAAAATCAGGCAAGAAAGAGAAGGGTGGACAGACTACATATTTTTTGATTACCACAAAACCTTTGATACAGTGCCACACTAGAGGCTAGTGAAAAAGCTGGAGATGCAGGCTGGATTGAAAGGGAAGGTACTCGATTGGATAAAGGAGTACCTAAGCAGCAGGAGACAACTAGTCAGTTTGAGGGATGAGGTCTCAAATTGGCGAGACGTTACAAGTGGAGTCCCGCAGGGGTCAGTCCTAGGCCCTATACTGTTTCTGATATATGTAAATGATCTCCCAGAGCATATAGACTCGTTTCTCTCAATGTTTGCTAATGATGCAAAAATTATGAGGAGGATTGAAACAGAGGATGATAGTAGGAGGCTACAAGATGACCTAGACAGACTGAGTGAATGGTCCAACAAATGGCTGTTGAAGTTCAACCCGAGTAAATGCAAAGTAATGAAACTAGGCAGTGGAAACAGGAGGCCAGACACAAGATTCAGAATAGGAGATGAAGTACTTAATGAAACGGACAGAGAGAAAGATCGAGGAGTTGATATCACACCAAACCTGTCTCCTGAAGCCCACATAAAAAGAATAACGTCTGCGGCATATGCGAGGCTGGCTAACATAAGAACCCCGTTCAGGAACCTGTATAAGGAATCGTTCAGAATCTTGTACACCACATATGTAAGACCAATCCTGGAGTATGCAGCCCCAGCATGGAGCCCGTACCTTATTAAGCACAAGACGAAGCTGGAAAAAGTTCAAAGGTATGCCACTAGAATAGTCCCAGAGCTAAGAGGTATGAGTTACGAGAAAAGACTGCGGGAAATGCACCTTACGACAATGGAAGACAGATGAGTAAGGGGAGACATGATCACAACCTACAAAATCCTCAGGGGAATCGACCGGATAAACAAGGATAAATTATTCAACACTGGTGGTACGCGAACAAGGGGACACAGGTGGAAACTGAGTAACCACATGAGCCACAGGGACGTTAGAAGGAACTTTTTCAGTGTCAGAGTAGTTAACGGATGGAATGCATTAGGCAGTGATGTGGTGGAGGCAGACTCCATAAACAGTTTCAAATGTAGATATGATAGAGCCCAATAGGCTCAGGAATCTGTACACCAGTTGACTGACAGTTGAGAGGCGGGACCAAAGAGTCAAATGATCAACCCTTGCAAGCACAAATTGGTGAGTACAAATAGGTGAGTACACACACATACACACACGCACACTGACGCATGAACGCAGGCACGCAAGCACACACGCACACACACACATACACACACACACACACACACACACACACACACACACACACACACACACACACACACACACACACACACACACACACACACACTGTCGATTCGCAAGGAAATCGACAGGGTAGATAAAAACAGGCTATTTAACACAAGGGGCACATGCACTAGGGGACACAGGTGGAAACTGAGTGCCCAAATGAGCCACAGAGATATTAGAAAGAACTTTTTTAGTATCAGAGTGGTTGACAAATGGAATGCATTAGGAAGTAATCTGGGCTGTGAAAATTTCAGTGATTACATAACAGGTATCATAGCAATTGGAGGACAAAAAATTATAGTCGTAGTCATATATAACCCACCACCAAACGACAGAAGACCCAGACAGGAAATTGATAGAAACAACATGGCCACCATCAATGTAATAGAGAGAGCAGCTTCTGTAGCGAGCAGGAACGGATCCAGGCTACTAATCACAGAAGACTTCAACCACGGGAAGACAGATTGGGAGAACAGAGATCCACATGCAGGACTGGACACATGGAGAGCTAAGCTGATGGACGTGGCAACAAGAAACTTTCTAAGCTAACACATCAAGGGAGCGACAAGAACGAGAGGAGAAAATGACTAACTTTGCTTGATCTGATATTTATCCTAAATGAGTCGGATATAAGGGAAGTTAAGTTGGAAGCCCTCTTGGGAATGAGTGATCACAGTGTATTGATCTTTGAGTACCTGATAGAGCTAGGAATTATTTCCCCCAAAAAAGAACTGGGAAACAATGGGCTGGCATACCTAAAAGGAAATTATGAGGAGATGAGATAATTCCTAAGGGATATACCATGGGACACAGAACTCAGAACTAAGTCCGTACAAAGCATGATGGTGTATGTCACCCAAAAATGTCAGCAAGCAGTAAGAAAGTTTTTCCCGACACGACAGAAAAAAAAACAGAAGCAAACGAAGAATCCATAGTTTAATAGGGAATGTATGAAAGCAAAGGAACTGAACAAAAGGGCGTGGAGGAACTTCCGAAATAACAGAACAACAGAAAGCAGAGAGAGAGAGATACCAGAGAAATAGGAACGAGTTTGTTAGTGTGAGAAGAGACGCTGACAAAAAGTATGAAAATGATATAGCTAATAAAGTTAAGACCGAACCAAAGTTACTCCACAGTCAAATCAGGAAGAAAACAACAGTGAAGGAACAGGTGATGAAACTTAGAATGGGAGGGAACATCAGAGATCAACAAAGAGCAGTGAGGAAGAACTCAACAAGAGGTTCCAGGATGTCTTCACAATAGAACAAGGAGAGGTTACTGCGCTAGGAGAGGTGGCAGTAAACCAAGCGGCCTTGGAAGGGTTCGAAATTACAAGAGATGAGGTCAACAGACATCTCTTGGATCTCGATGTGAGAATGGCTGATGGCTCAGGCGGAATCTCACCATGAGTATTGAAAGAGTGTGCAGGAGCACTTTGCTTGCCACTCTCCATAGTGTATAGTAGGTCACTGGAGATGGGAGACCTACCAGAAATATGGAAGACGGCTAATGCATTCCCAATATACAAAATGGGTGACAGACAGGAGGCACTGAACTACAGGCAAGTGTCCATAACTTGTACACCATGCAAGGTGATGGAGAAGATCATGAAAAAACCTAGTAACACATTTGGAGAGAAAGGACTTCGTGACAACCCATCAACAGGGATTAATGTAACTAATCATATTACAACAAAGCTGAATCAAAGGGATGATTTTGGATATAAACCTAAATGATTTGTACCTAACCTGCTTGGATCTTTGTTGAATATCGTATCTATATTGCTAGAAAAGTATTGTTCTGGATATGAACCTAACTGCCCCCTTGCCTAACCTGCCTGGATCTATGTTCAATGTTGTAACTCTATTGCTAGAAAAGTGTCTGTTTTACACACATCAACTCAGCTACTTTGTTCTTAACCTGCCTAAATCTATGTTCAATATTCCTAGCAATGTTTTGTTTTGGATATGGACTCATCAACCCTGAACCGAAGATTCACTATATCTATATCATTAAATAATCCAATTTTTTTAACCTAATCCATAACTAAAGGCTTTATACCCCCCCCCCCCTTCCCAACACAGGTAACGAGCCTTTACCTGGAAATTATACTATGTATTGAAGATAAGACCCCCCTCTACATTTTCTAATTTATTATAAATTAGAGTAATATGTCATAAATAAATGTTTATTAGGGATAAATTTAGATTATATGACATAAAATTGATATATTAAGATAATGTAACATGAATTAAGATAATATGACATAAATTGATATAATGTAATATACATAGAGATAATATTACATAAATTAGGGTTAATTAGGGATAAAATAGGGTTAAATTTGAGAAAATTTGTATAATATGTGAAAATATATTCTCACCTTAATTACCCATAATTTACCCTAACTTTCGAGAAACGGGGGGGGGGGGATAAAGCCCCTAGTTATAGGTTAGGTTAAGGAAAATTGGATTAAATAATTATAAAATCTGGAGGAGTGCTCATGAGCTCTACAACTTGGAGGAATGCTCATGTGCAGAACAACTTGGAGGAATGCTCATGTGCAATACAGCTTGGAGGAAACCTCATGAGCAGTACAGCTTGGAGGAATGCTCATGTGCAGTACAACTTAGAGGAATGTTCATGTGCGGTACAGCTTGGAGGAATGCTCATGTGTTGTACAACTTGGAGGAATGCTCATGATCAGTACAGCTTGGATGAATTTTCATGAGCAGTACAGCTTGGAGGAAGGCTCATGAGCAGTATAGCTTGGAGGAATGCTCATGAGCAGTACAGCTTGGAGGAATGCTCATGTGTTGTACAACTTGGAGGAATGTTCATGATCAGTACAGCTTGGAGGAATGCTCATGAGCAGCACAGCTTGGAGGAATGCTCATGATCAGTACAGCTTGGAGGAATGCTCATGAGCAGCACAGCTTGGAGGAATGCTCATGAGCAGCACAGCTTGGAGGAATGCTCATGTGCAGCACAACTTGGAGGAATGCTCATGAGCAGTACAGCTTGGAGGAATGCTCATGTGCAGTTCAGCTTGGAGGAATGCGCATGTTAAATACAGCTTGGAGGAGTGCTGATGTGCAGTATAGTTAGGAAGAATGCCCGTGTGTAGTACAGCTTGGAGGAATGCTCATGTGCAGTACAGCTTGGAGGAGTGCTCATGTGCATTTCAAGTTGTAGGAACATCAAATTATTTTCTCATTAGTCATATATATTTTAATTTATCATATGAATCAAAGAGCTCATCACTTTATATCGTTATTATTACTTATTGTATTAGATAAATGCTCCAGGTTAGACACTTGGTCCTAGTGATGACCTGCCAGGCCTCGGAGGTGCTCCTCGAGGGACGCAGGTCAAGTGTTAATGCAAGGACCGAGAGCAGGTGTTACTCCAAGGACACAAAGCAGCCGATACTTCAAGGAGAGGAGTCAGGTATTGTTCCTAAAACAATTTCAGTTTCTCACAAATAACTGCATTTCTTTCACTGCAAGAAGCATCGAAGAAAAAATAATGATCTTCCTTGGACATTGCTATGCAGTTTTGATTGGTTCCTCCGTCGGGCTCCTGAATGTTGTCATTAATGCCGTCACCCCAAAAGGGGGTTCCCATCTTGACCTGGGTACCATCAGTCCAAAAGTAAGATCCCTCGTGGCCTTCATCTCTCCCACCGACCCAGTAAGACAACTTAGCCAGACCTGCGGACATATTGAAAGAACAAGTGAATATTGCAGAAAAAATTATTGTTGTAATTCAGTTTTCAGGAACAACATAGGTCTTGAGATGAAGAACTCACCGTTACTGTGAAGGTACCTGACGAGGTAATACATAAAGGTGCCACAGTCAACTTTGACAATCTCGCCGCCCTTCTGCTGACAGTGACGTCTCATTGTTTGCCAAGTTCCCGTCAGTGCCGTCTCCACCAAGATACAGTGACCATATACGTCCACAAACGGTGCCATGCACTCCACGACCCCTGTGGACGACAGAGCACAAGACTCATGCAGATGAATATATTAAGCAACTCTTGTGTCTAGGCTTTCATATTCAATGAAACATTAATTAAGATTTTTAGTAGAATGAAGTTTATCATGAAGGTCATGTTAGGTTTGTGCTCGTGTGAGGTGAGCTCTTAGCTAATGAGACCTTTGAACTATTTGGTCAGGTGAATTACAAAGACAGGTGAACAAGGGAGCAACAAGGATAGGTGAACAAGGGAACAGTTTTTGAATACGACAAGTGCCTTCTCTTAATACTAAAGAGGCCCATCAAACAAGTGAATATTTGATGTCAAATTAATTTACCTATTCATCAATAGAGAAAGCCCCTTAATAAAGATGGTTTTAAGTGTGTGCAACCTCCTTTGGTCACTGCTGGTTGCAATGTTGGTGGAGTTTATATCTTCGTCGTGACGTATTTGGATAATGTTGTTGATAGTGATGCTGTTTTATAACTTCTTTCTCTTTAATAAGGGAAAACTATTACCCCTCACCATCATCTTGGGAAACACCGTTACCATCAACATCATCATTTGGAACACCATAATAGTCACCATCATATTAGAAAACACAATAACCTTCTATGTTCCTTAGGGAACACCACAACCTCACCATGAAATTAGGGAACACCATAACAGTCACCATCATATTAGGGAACATAATAACCCTCACCATCATATAAGGGATCACCATAACCCTCACCATCATCTTGGGGAACACCATTACCCTCACCATCATCTTGGGGAGCACTATTACCTCACCAGCCTCTTGGGGAACACTATTACCCTCACCATCATCTTGGGGAGCACCATAACCCTCACCATCATCTTGGGGAACACTATTACCCTGACCATCATCTTGGGGAGCACCATAACCCTCACCATCATCTTGGGGAACACTATTACCCTCACCATCATCTTGGGGAGCACCATAACCCTCACCATCATCTTGAGGAACACTATTACCCTCACCATCATCTTGGGGAGCACCATAACCCTCACCATCATCTTGGGGAGCACCATAACCCTGACCATCATTTAGGGGAACACCATTAGCTTTAACAACGTTCTGCAAAGCCGATATTTCTGGAAAGGGAAAACAAATTATGTGATTAATTTCCGATTATGATCTTAAAAATGAAACATTTATAAAATTGTCATTCATCAATCATGAAAAGTAGTTTAAAATTACTTTATTAAACAATAAACAATTCATCGAGAATTTGTTAAAAAATCAGTCTGTAAAAGTTTGAATGATCCTCTAGAGCAGTGACCCTCAAACGGGTCGAGGCGCTTGACTCCCAAAAGAGGAATTTCTGTAAAGAAGATGAACTCTAAACTGAAAAAGAACTGTAAACTCCCCCTTGTGGGTAGTTGGCATAAACATATTAGGAACAAGTATACAAACGCAAGAGCCACTCACCGGAAGTAATGTTTGATTGCAGGTCGTTCAGCCACTCTCTTATTACTGAAATATAAAAGACGAAAACCACATTACAATAACATGGTCGGTAATGAATAGAGTTAATAGTAATTTATAATCTTGGTCGTTACTGTCTTATATCCTTCTGTTATCTCCTAAACCTGCAATACCTGTGATCTCCTAATCCTACAATGTCTGTTATTTACGGAACCTCTAACGTCTGTTATCTCCTAAACCTACACTGTCTGTTATCTCCTGAACCTGCAATGTATGTTGGCTCCTAAACGTTCGGTGTCTGTTATCTTAACGATAACTTTGTGATCAGCTTAGGTTATAATATTGACAAATTATTATGACTATTGAGAAGGAAATTGTAATTAAATAAACAAGTAACTGACCAAGTTACTGATTTGGAAAGAATAATTTCATTTAAAGATATATATTCAATGAACTTCACTCCAACACCAGCTCTATCATCCAACTCAGCTACACTTACTGTCACACCACACTCCAACACGAGTTCTATCATCCATCTCAGCAACACTTACTGTCACACCACACTCCAACACGAGTTCTATCATCCATCTCAGCAACACTTACTGTCACACCACACTCCAACACGAGTTCTATCATCCATCTCAGCTACACTTACTGTCACACCACACTCCAACACGAGTTCTATCATCCATCTCAGCTACACTTACTGTCACACCACACTCCAACACGAGTTCTATCATCCATCTCAGCTACACTTACTGTCACACCACATAACACCCCAACACCAGCTCTATCATCTATCTCAGCTACACTTACTGCCACACCACACTTCGCCAGTATCTCTGCCATCCATCTCAGCAACACTTACTGTCACACCACACTTCAACACCAGCTCTGTCATACAACTGGATTACAATTTCTACCACAGTAAACTTCAACAGCTCGTACATGACTGTGAACCTGCTTCAGTGTTCTCCTTACCTCTGGTTCCGGAGTCGCGTTCAGCCAGCATGTTAGACATTGCCAGCTGGTTGAGGAGCAGCGTGTTGGATAGATCTTGAAGTGTCTGAATCTGTTGGGCAGCCGTCACCATCACCAGCGCCGACAGCAGGATGGCTGAGAGTGTTGCCATGGTGACCTCTCGGTGATCTTTCGGGGAGTGAGGCAGACATCCGTTGTTGCTCTATTTATACACTAGTCTGGCATAGTCACACGCAGGCACGCACGTACGCGCGCGCGCACACACACACACACACACACACACACACACACACACACACACACACACACACACACACACACACACACACACACACACACACACACACACACACCAGAGAGCAGGGAGAGATACCAGAGGGCCAGAAATGAGTATATCAGAGTGAAGAGGGAAGCAGAGAGACAGTTTGAAAATGACATCGCGAGTAAAGCCAAGACCCAACCAAAGCTGTTCCACAGCCATATCAGGAGGAAAACAGCAGTGAAGGAACAAGTGATAAAGCTGCGGAAAGGGGAGAACAGATACACAGAGAATGACAAGGAGGTGTGTGAAGAACTCAACAAGAGATTCCAGGAGGTCTTCACAATAGAACAAGGAGAAGCCCCTGCACTAAATGAGGAGGCGGCAAACCAAGCAACCTTGGAGGAATTTGACCTCACCAGTGATGAGGTCAAAAGGTGTCTGCTGGAGCTAGATGTGACAAAGGCTGTTGGGCCTGATAGAATCTCATCATGGATACTAAAGGAAGGTGCAGAAACATTAAGTGTGCCACTCTCTATGGTGTATAACAGGTCACTGGAAACAGGAGACTTACCAGAAAGTTGGAAGACAGCTAACGTGGTCCCAATATACAAAAAGGGTGACAGGCAAGAGGCACTGAATTACAGGCCAGTTTCCTTAACTTGTATACCATGCAAGGTGCTGGAGAAGATCGTGAGGAAAAGGCTCGTAGAGCATCTGGAGGGAAATAACTTTGTAACGCACCACCAACATGGGTTCAGAGATGGTAAATCGTGCCTCACAGGTTTAATAGAATTTTATGACCAGGCAACGAAAATTAGGCAGGAAAGAGAAGGGTGGGCCGACTGCATTTTCCTGGATTGCCAAAAAGCCTTTGACACAGTACCCCATAAAAGGCTGTTAAAAAAGTTGGAGCAACAGGCAGGAGTAAAAGGGAAGGTACTCCAGTGGATAAGGGAGTACCTAAGCAACAGGAAACAGCGAGTAACGGTGAGGGGGAAGACATCAGAGTGGCCAGATGTCACCAGCGGAGTCCCACAGGGCTCAGTACTTGGACCCATCCTGTTACTAATATATGTGAACGATCTTCCAGAGGGTATAGACTCATTCCTCTCGATGTTTGCTGATGATGCAAAAATTATGAGAAGAATCAAGACGGATGAAGATAGACAGAGACTACAGGATGACCTGGATAAACTGGAGGAATGGTCTAGAAAATGGCTGCTGAAGTTCAACTCTGGAAAGTGTAAGGTGATGAAATTAGGCGAAGGGAGCAGGAGGCTGAACACAAGGTATCATCTGGGAGGGGAAATCCTGCAAGAATCAAATAGAGAGAAGGATCTGGGGGTTGATATCACACCGAACCTGTCCCCAGAGGCCCACATCAAAAGAATATCATCAGCGGCATATGCTCGACTGGCCAACATAAGAACTGCCTTCAGAAACTTGTGTAAGGAATCTTTCAGAACCCTGTATACCACTTATGTAAGACCAATCCTGGAGTATGCAGCTCCAGCCTGGAGTCCATACCTAGTTAAACACAAGACAAAGTTAGAGAAGATTCAGCGGTATGCCACCAGGCTCGTCCCGGAACTGAGAGGATTGAGCTACGAGGAAAGGCTAAAGGAGCTGAACCTCACATCCCTGGAAAACAGAAGAGTAAGGGGAGACATGATAACCACCTACAAAATTCTCAGGGGAATTGACAGGGTGGACAAAGACAAACTCTTCAGCATGGGTGGGACACGAACAAGGGGACACAGGTGGAAACTTAGTACCCAGATGAGCCACAGAGACGTTAGAAAGAATTTTTTCAGTGTCAGAGTAGTTAATAAATGGAATGCACTAGGAAGTGATGTGGTGGAGGCTGACTCCATACACAGTTTCAAATGTAGATATGATAGAGCCCAGTAGGCTCAGGAATCTGTACACCAGTTGATTGACAGTTGAGAGGCGGGACCAAAGAGCCAAAGCTCAACCCCCGCAAGCACAATTAGGTGAGTACAATTAGGTGAGTACACACACACACACACACACACAAACACACACACTTGACACTTGTGTTGTGACCATCGTGTTGGGTGGACGTGGGTTGGGAGCTCCTGGCTCACTAGTGGAGTGGGAGGGGTAATCAGGCAACTTCGAAGTGAAAAAGTGTGTACAAGTGAATGAAAAAAACCTTGGGTTTTGACCAAAGCCATAAGGTAGTGAAGAAAAACAGTTAAGTAGCGTAATTCAAAATAGTTGATGAAGTACTGTGGCAGTGTGGAGCGGACCTCACCGACCTCTGACCATGACCTCACCCCCGGCAGCAACCCTCCTACCACCACGTGGGACGACGCTTGGAGATTCACTCACCTATTGTGTTAGCAGGACGGTAAGATACTTGGAACCCCAGTGGGTAAGGTTGCATTATAGCAATGACTAGGTCAGGAAGGGCATCTAGGTTCCAGCAGTATTATGATTGAAGATGAAGATAGGTTTGTGGAGAAGATGATTGGGAAATTTGTAGAGAAGAGGGATGTTTGGATAGATGATCTAATCCAGGGGATTAAAAGTGAAGTCTTTAATAAGATACAGGATGAGGTTCAAAGACTCAAACAGGAGTTTATGGATTATATTCAAGAGGAAATCAGGAAGAGCAGGGTAGAATGGCAAGGAGAAATATCTACGCTTACTAATGAATTTGGCAGGAATAAGGGAAGCTTGGCAGGGGAAGGGGGAGTAGTAGTAGGTGGAGTAGCGGGAGAGGGAGGGGTGGTGGTCAGCCAGGGAGGAGGCCACCAGCATGACCCTGAACTGAGAAAGAGGACAATCATAATCCATGGATTGCTTGAAGCCAGGGCACCATCGAGGCAGGAAAGGATGGAGATTGAGGATTTGAAGCTATAGGGGATCTTGAGAGACATGAGAGCCCAGATGGCAGGGAATGAGGTGCAAGTCCACAGACGCATTGGGCCATAAAACTGTAACAGGAAACGACCTGTCCTGGTACAGTTCACTAACGAAGAGGAAGTGGATTACATACTGCATCACAAACACTTACTCAGAGGTAGCGGAAATTACTACAACGTATATATTGACAAATTCATGACGAAGGAGGAGCAGATAGCCCACAGAGCAAGCAAACAACAATACAACTCTTCCCATTTGAGCGTAGCTACACACACCAATGCTAATCCACACCATGCTAACCAGCTCACACCTTCTCAGGTCACTCTCTCCCCAAATCAGCCCTCCCTGCCCCTGATTATCTCCCCATCACCTCCCTTGACCCCTCTGACCCCACTGCAGTCAAATTCATCCAACATTCCAAGGACCCCCTCATCACCTCAACCCCCAAAACCCGTCCAGCCCTCATCCCCTCAACCCCCAAAACCCACCCAGCCCTCATCCCCTCAACCCCAAAAACCCACCCAGCCCTCATCCCCTCAACCCCCAAACCCTACCCAGCCCTCACCCCTCCTCATCCCCTCTCCTTCCATGTGACCACCCACCTTTTCGAGGGGGGGTGGGAGGTTCCCCCCACCCCCTCTATCCTTCCCCTCCCAACCTCTCAACCTCTGTCTGACTCCCAACCTTACGCTATCTCCCAACCCCTCTATGCCTATCAGACCCTCCCAAATCTTCAGACCCAGTATGCCCTTCTTACTCCAGATCTACCTACCCAGGCCCTACCCCAGACCTTCCTACCTACCTTCCTAGAAGCCCAGCACCCATTAGCCCCCAAGCACCCCTCCTGACCTCTTTCACCCCCCATACACCCCCCGACCCCCCCAGACACCCCCCGGATCCCGCCGGACATCCCCCAGATCCTCCTCGCCCCCAGTCATCCCCCAGACACCCCCTAGATCCCCCCAGATCCCCCGAGAAAGGGAGAACTCTGGTACAAGAGTTTCCATGAAGAATCTCTAGGTTTGGTACACCAATGCTGATGGGGTATCTAATAAAGCAGAAGAGATAAAAGAAAGAGTGAGTCAAGCAGATCCTGACATAGTTGCAATTGTGGAAACTAAAATTAATGACATGATCTCAGATGCAATCTTTCCTGAAGGGTACCAGGTGATACGAAAAGAGAGGACACAGAGACAGGGAGGGGGGGGGGGTGGCATTCCTAATAAAGCGGAAATGGAAGTTTGAAGACCTGGGAAATGGGGTTACCAATGAGTGCACAAGCTTTATACATGGAACTCTGACAGTAAATGGGAGGAAGATTGTGATCTTGGTAATCTACAATCCCCCATCAAACAGTAGAAGACCCAGGCAGGAGTATGATGACAACAACAAGGCATGTATAGGAGAACTGCAGAAGGCAGCAACACTAGCCCACAGAATGAGAGCGAAGCTGCTGATCATGGGGGACCTAAATCATGGAGAGATAAATTGGGAATCAAGGAATCCCCATGGAGGGGACGAAACATGGGGAGCAAAATTAGTAGATGTTATAGACAGGAAATTCCTAACACAACATGTGAAGGAAGACACAAGGGAAAGAGGAGGAGATGCACCGAGCCAATTAGACCTGATTTTCACCCAGAACGTAGAAGATATCAAGAATTTAGAGCATGAAATACCTCTAGGGGCCAATGACCATTGTGTCCTAGCCTTTGACTACATGATGGAATTCAAACTTATGACCATGGGACAAGAGATCTGGGAAAGGAGAGTTGACTACAGGGGACTATAAGAGGATAAGGGACTATCTGGGTGAAGTGCAGTGGGAGGAAGAAATTAGAGGAAAAAAATGTCCAAGATATGATGGACCTAGTCATACAGAAATGCCAGGAGGCCAAAGAGAGATTTATACCAACAGTAAAGGGAAAAAATAAGAAGGAATATAATAACCCTGTGGGGAGATGGTTCACCAGCTCACTTACAATAGTGCTCTTATGCCTGTGG